ACAGCTCAAAGAATATGGCTCAAAATATAATCTACAGCCCTTGAGGAGGAACTAAAGGCCCTTGACTTTGTTTAGTGGTTAAACTATTATTATTTTGTCTTGCTTGACTGTTTTCCTTTGTTTCTGCATTTTCTCACTTCTCTGATTGAATTTATTCTTTGGAACACAGGGAAGGCCTAGGAGGCTAAAATTTTTTTACAGACAAAAGGCAGACAGAGGACATGGGGTGGAGGTGGGGTCTGTCCCGGGAAGGCCCATAGGGTCCTGCTTGGTTACACTAATACCATGTTACCACTACCCCTCACCCAAACCTAGGATGGGGATACAGGCTGTAGTGTATCCCAGATATATTTAAACACAGACCTCCTTTTTGAGAGTATCTTGTGGTAAGAGTGCTCTATGAATATGCTTTGGGAACTGTTCTCCATTCCTTAACAGAAACCAAAAGATGAAGATTTCTCTTATAATTATGGTTGTTGAAATGTTCCTCCTTTTTGATGATGCTTAGGAAAAAGATTGGAAAGAAATATGCTAACATGTTAACAGCATTTCTCCTATCTGGGGGACAATGTATCATTTTTAGCTCCCTGTAACATGTTTTGTACTTTCGAAAAGCCAACAATTAGCATAATTATTCAATCATAAAATAATTAAAAAGTATGTCTTTATGACCCTGGCTAAACTACGAAAATATGGCCAGTTGTTAATGAGTGACTTATCTTCTTTCCTTTGCTCAGCTGTGCTCTTTTAAGGAATTCCTTCACAATCACGCCTTACAAGGGTTCAGATATGTTGTTAAGTGTTAGGGCTTCAGAATTCTTCTCAACACAGCTGCAGTTATGGCCCATAAGAAACAAACCTATTTGCCAGACCTTCCTTGTGTCACGTGAGAAGATCAGCGTGCATAGTCCTTGCTTGTTGGTGTATCTGTCCCGCTCCTCTCTCTCTGAGCATCTTCAGGCCGTCATCTGGCACAGGGTGAGTGCTCAGCAAGCAGCAAGCGTTAGTTCCTCCCCTTGTATCCCCAGCACCTAGCCCAGCAGGGCCTAGCAGTTATTTCATAAATATTCCTGGATTAAAACTAAGTAAAGAATTTAGTAAAAGGGGAATTGGTGGTCACAGTGAGAAATCTTAAATTGATTTTCCTATATGGCCTTTTTCCCTTTTGAAAATCTCCAAGAACACCAATGAACAACCTATTGAGGGCACTCACTTTCTGTATTTTACAGCAATGGGAGGCAAGTCAAGAGCCAGGGTATTTACGGCGGCTCACGCTAAACTCCAGGGGACAGATAGAAAACACGACGCCAGTCACCCCATCCCCCCCACACAGACATTGCAGGGACCTTAATTCTTGGCAGGAAAACACAATTTAAATACAGAAACAACGAGAGGTCAAAACAAGACTTTCTCTACTCAAATGTAGAATTGTATAGTGCAGATGGCAGGTGTCCCAGCAGTGCCGGGAGAGGGAGATCTGTTGGAAAAGGCTTCATGCATTAAGTGGGACTTAAGTGGAAATAAAGGGATTTCAGCGTAATCTTAATTTTTAGTTCATGTAATCTTTTTTCTGATTTCTTATGATTTGGGTGATAGAAGACTATCACCAAAGGTTTTATTTTAGTTCTAACATGTTTGGTTCTTCATAGGTGAGGGATATTTTAAAAAAGTATGTGTATGTGTGTGTCACACACACGATATGCACACTCAGATACACCTCATTTTGTCAGTTCTGAAATTTTCATTTTCATGTTTTAATTTCTTTGAAATTATGATGCATCTTATAGTCAATAGCATGTCATAATTTAATTGACAACATTTTTTTCTCTCACTAGTACATGACATAATATTGCATCCTATAAAATATGGCATTTTGGGTTAGATAAAATATGGTAATGAATATTTGTGTCTATTCACATGTGTATAGATGTACATGCTTGTGCATATGTGTATCTATACTCATATTAATGTTTGAGCTTATAATGGAGATTCAGTTCTTTGTCCTGTGCAGTAATTTGGATAGGATGAGCTGCTCTAGCAGGCACAAGACTTAGCCCTTCACTGTCTGTCTAACCTGGGTTTGGATGTGTCTGTTCTTCAATTCCATTTGGAAAACTAGACTAATAATAACTCTATGCCAAACGATGTCTGTAACACATGTTGAATTAGTTATGGTTGAGGGGTTTGTTACCATTCCATTTTCAAGGTCCCAGGAGATTTGAGATCCATACTTGTGTTGACACAGCATGTGCTAAGTTGAACTCCATAGAGCTTGAGGGAAGAAGACAGCTATCGTGGGATTCTTTTCTTTTAAATAATTTGCAAGGATACTGCTCAGCAGTCTGTCCCACTCCCTTCCTCTGGCTTACTTTCCAGGTATATGTAATCCTGGAGAAATAACAAATGAACACAGGATTGGTAAGTTTTTTTGTTTTTTTTTTTTTTGGCAGTACGCGGGCCTCTCACTGTCGTGGCCTCTCCCGTTGCGGAGCACAGGCTCCAGACGCGCAGGCTCAGTGGCCATGGCTCACGGGCCCAGCCGCTCCGCGGCATGTGGGATCTTCCCGGACCGGGGCACGAACCCATGTCCCCTGCATCGGCAGGCGGGCTCTCAACCACTGCGCCACCAGGGAAGCCCAGATTGGTAAGTTTTGTTTCGTGTAAGGTACTAGGTGAACAGCACCAGAACCTCACTTGTCTTGGGTTGGTGTGAGTCAAGAATGTTCCCATTTCCTATCTAGTTACAGCTGCTCCAGCAAAAGCCCCAGTCTCTGAATCCATTCCCGAGATATCATTGTACTACCATAAGCCTTGGAAATAATTATATAAATCTCCCAAAGTATGTTATTTTAATGTTGCTTAACGGAAAACTTTCAGTAGTGAGGCCCCTGCCTTCTTTACAAACCTTTTCAGCTCATTCCCAGCCCCTCCCTTTCTCTTTCTAAGCTCCAACCATACTGCTCTTCTTTCAGGACCCCCATTACCCCACGCAGCTTCTCTCCTAAGGTCCTTCATGCAGGTTCTTCTTCCTTCCGGAAACTCTCTACCTCACTCCTTCCTTTTCCCTGGCCGATTTCTCCTTCCCATCGGATCTCAGCTTGATCATCAGCCCTCCTAGAAGCCTCCTTTGACTCTCCAGACTAGGTCAGCACATAAGTTTTAGGCTTTCTTAGCACCTGTACTTCTTTCTAACACTCATCATAACCATGATTAAAAATTAATAGAATAATTACTTTCTTATTGTTTTGTCTGTCAAAGTAAATGCTAAAAATTAATAGAATAATTACTTTCTTATTGTTTTGTCTGTCAAAGTAAATGCTCCAAGAGGGAGGGTTTTATATGTACGTTTTCAGTGTTCCCAACACCTGGGATTGGGACTTTGGATAGAGTACCCAATAAATATGCAATGAATGAATGACCAAATAAAGGAGAGTTCTGTATTAACTGAAGGTAGTTTTCCCTTAAGAGATTAACTCCTTTTTTTTTTTTACATCTTTATTGGAGTATAATTGCTTTACAATGGTGTGTTAGTTTCTGCTGTATAACAAAGTGAATCAGCTATATGTATACATATATCCCCATATCCCCTCCCTCTTGCATCTCCCTCCCACCCTCCTTATCCCACCCCTCTAGGTGGTCACACAGCACCAAGCCGATCTCCCTGTGCTATGCAGCTGTTTCCCACTAGCTATCTATTTTACATTTGGTAGTGTACATATGTCAGTGCTACTGTCTCTAGGTCAGGGTCTTTTACCCCCCTCACCTGGGTTGTGACAACCAAACATATCTCTGGACATTATCAAATGTCTTTTGGGGAGCACATCTATCCCCAGATGAGACCTCTGGTATGAATGAATGACTTTAAGCTGATTGGGTGAGAGCTATCCTGGAACTCAGTGTGGCTTGTGAAGATTAAGGATTTAAACTGTTCTATAGAATTTAATGGGTTAGGACAAGCAAGGACCCATGCAACAGCTTTCCCTCTGGTTGTGTTGAGTTGTATCAATAAAAGTATTGTATCCATCATATTGAAGAAGGAAATGTATTAGGCTAAATGATAAGAATAAAATCTATGACGTTAGAAGATTTGTAAATGCACAATTTTGTTGCAGTTCATGAAATGTCATTTGAAATAGAATGTATAAAATTTTGGAGTTAGAGATACAGGCAGATCTGGGTCCATCAGATATATGAAGATACAAGCAGGATAACAAGAAGGAACGTGCAGAATGCTTATTTCTCAAGTTCATGAGACTGAGGTGTACTTGGAACAGGGGCGATTAATCAAGTGGAGGAGACGACTAGGATGAGGCCAGGTCCTTGCTGCCTTGACAATGACCCTGTCTTGAAGTTATGGCCAGCACAGAGAAAAGACCCATTTAGAAGTGGGGTGAATCATTTTGAGAACTCATCCTTGAGGAGTGATTGTAATGGAGATAGACAAGGAGAAAGAACACACAATAAAGGACTGGGAAGTTTGCAAAGGAGTTTCTCCACCCTGGGTGTTCCTATTCCTGCCAGCACAGTCGTGGATGGTGTAAATAAATTAGGTATTCATCAGTCAATTTTGTTGCCCCTGGCCTGCTTTCCCCCACTGCTTTGCTTCTTGGAAGAAAATGTTAGAGGGGACACATTTCTTATAAACTGTTCCTTTTTCATTTTTTAGGATCCAAAAAGTTTGATAAGAGCAGGTTGAAAGTGGGAATGAGGGAGGGTGGGAGGGAGATGCAAGAGGGAGGAGATATGGGGATACATGTATATGTATAGCTGATTCACTTTGTTATAAAGCAGAAACTAACACAACAATGTAAAGCAATTATACTCCAATAAAGATGTTTAAAAAAAAAGAAAGTGGGAATAAGAAAACCAAAATGGAGCTATCTGGAAATAAAAGAAGAAAGGAAAGGGCTTCAGAAAAGAGCACAGAGCTGTGGTGGGAGAGGAGTTTTTATTTATAGACCATATTATGTACATATTTTCAATTGAGTTTCTATTCTTACCTTTATATGTGAAACTAAAACAAACAGAAGAGCCACGCCATTTTGCCAGCAGGTGGCACCATAAGAATCTCCTATAAGAAAAGGGTGACAAATGTAAACAGGATCCTTAATATTTTACCTTTCAGGAAAACTCTAGACATCAATGTAGAGTCATAATTTTGATGATATTAGCAACGTGTGTACATTGCTTAAAATGGTTTCGGAAGATTCATCTCTCCCTTCATTTTTCATGCTAACGTTGCTCATTCAGTGAAAGAGTATATTCCCATAAAAGGACAAAAAACTAGGTTTTAAGAAAAAAGTATATATATATATATATGTATATATACACACACACACATATATGTATTGCATATATATATTTGTATTGCTTACTACAGTTGCTTGACAAATACTTTTATTTAGCACCCTGTTTTTACACCCCTTTTCTGCTCTGTACTGTGAGGATTCCTTGTGCCCAGAGATCTCCCCAGTGCTAAGCAATCTCAGACTCAGGGGGGACCTGGTGCCGGAGGTAGTGAGTGTTTCTGGCCTTTGCAAACAACTCTGAATAGGTTGATGTTTTGGGCTCGCCTTTGAAGTTCCCTCCACATTCCATGGGATTCAGGGGAATTTGTTTCCCAGTGGTGTGGTCTGGCCTTTTGTGGGCATCATTTGATCTGGTCTCATCGCTGTGTGCCATTCTGCTACCACCAGCTGGGCTGGAACTGGGGCCTTGGTCTAGGGTGTGAGCGGAGACGTCTTGATCTTGACATAGAAGAGAGATGCCCTTGTTGGAGTCTTTGCCCTTCAGTGGATTTATAGAATATTTCTCTTGGGCTTGCGGCTTCTCTTCTATAAAGTGGGAAGTTCTGTTATTTTGAGATAGCGACTGCCTTTTGCTTTTCATGGGGTCCTTGGGACCAGTGTGATGGAAAGGAGGCATCTGGGACTTGGTTTTGTATATTTCTTGGATCATATTTGTTGTCAGTGCTCTGGGAAAGGAGGTAAAAAGAAGAGACATCTCTGAAAGCAGATGAAGAGGCTCATATTTAGCATTTTCAAGTTATTAGACCATGGCCCCTTTCAGTGTGGTATTAGGTGAGGTAATAAAGTGAGTGGGAAGAGCATGAAAGGTGAGAATGGGTGGTAACAACGTGGAAAAATGGCTCTTTCCTTAAGAAGAAAAAGGCAGCACTTTCTCAGGGAGAGGACGATGTAAAGAGGTCATATCCATGAGTTTAGTAAGCATTTTCTTACCTAAATTTATTAGCCTGTAGAACCCTGTGCTTCTGTCCTCCCTGTGATGAGAACATAAGAACATCTTCTGGTCTCTTCTGACTTCCCTTCTCAAAGTAAGAGGAGAACTTTTTCTTGATGATACCTGTTTTGAGTTAATTAATAGGTGTTATGGGTTGAATTGTATCCTCCCCAAATGTCATATGTAGACATCCTAATGCCCAGTACTTCAGAATGTGACCTTATTTGGAGACAGGCCCTTTACAGAGATAATCAGGTTAAGATGAGGTCATTAGGGCGAGCCCTAGTCCAATATGACTGGTGTCCTTATAATAAAGAGAAATTTGGACACAGAGACTTAGATAGAGGGAAGGTGATGGGAAGAGGCACAGGAAGAAGATGGCCATCGACAAGCCAAAGAGGGTGGCCTGGAACAGATCCTTCTTTCCCAGGCTTCAGAAGGAACCAACTCTTAGTTTTGGACTTCAAGCCTCCAGAAATGTGAGAAGACACTTCTGTTGCTTCAGCCACCCAGTTTGTGGTGCTGTTAGGGTAGCCCTAAAAAACGAATACAGTAACAGAAGAAGGAAAAGAATGATTGAAGCTAGTTCTCTGGGCGGAGAAAGAGTATATGAATACCATTGGATCACATTACACAATAGGCTGATCTGGCATGATGAATGGAAACAGAAAAACCTAAAGCAGGTCCCCAATGTTTACCTCAAATATGTGAAAGAGGATTTAGAAACACCAAGGTCAGAGGTTTAAACGGACTTGGCCCATGGAGGTTTTGTCTGAATGTTTTATTTGGCAAGCATGGTGTTTTCAAAAGAAAAAGACTGGGTGTGAGTGATACACAGAGCTGGTGCCCTATTGTTTCATTCACCTCAATTATGTGACCTCCTACCCACCTGAGCCAAGAGTTGCAACTGCCGGCCATGAGTAAGTGGGTTTTTTGCTCTTTGAGTTAATGTTTCAGCATCTTGTAGTCATAGCTGCTGTAGAAAACCCGGTTTGTTTTCAAGATGTCTCATGAGTGGGTCACTTACAGTTGAAAGTCTTGCACTAGTTTGCTCTAATGGGAGTGAGTTCCCTAAATCTACATGGGTTAGTAGGCACCAGGCAGAGGACTTATGACCAGATAAAGGGCCTAGAGTTTACATTAAACTGCTAATATTCTTTCATCAAATAACTTCTTGGTGAGGTAGTCAAGGAAAGAGATAGTCCTTTTGGGGTCGCTCTTCTTCTGTTGTCTTCTTGAGTGCGTGTGTGTGTGTGTGTGAGTGTGTGTGTGTGTCCATCTAGTTATCCAATTTAGCAAGGATGTATGAGTGCCTACTTTGTGCCAGGCAGTATATTCTTGACTCTGTTTTTTTTTAGCTTGAACATATAATTAATCATAAAGCTCTGACAATTCCCCACTTAAATATCTCAAAATGCTTGTACACTTAAGATGCAATTTCGTGGGAAGCAGCCGCATAGCACAGGGAGATCAGCTCCATGCTTTTTGTCCACCTAGAGGGGTGGGATAGAGAGGGTGGGAGGGAGGGAGATGCAAGAGGGAGGAAATATGAGGATATATGTACATGTACAGCTGATTCACTTTGTTATAAACAGAAACTAACACACCATTGTAAAGCAATTATACTCCAATAAAGATGTTAAAAAAAAAAGATGTAATTTCACTTCCTAAATATCTTAAGATACTCATTTTTTTTCACCTGGCCAATGCCCTAGTTTAGCCCTTTAAACCCTGGCCTACACTCTGGAATTCTCCTATCTGGTCTACCTTAAACATTACAGCTGAGTAATCCTTCTCACACGTGGACATGTAATCTCCCTACTCCCAAACCCTGTAGGGTGAGATTTAAACTCTTGCAAGACCTATGAAGCTATTCATGACTGGAGACACTGCCTACACTGCTTTGTCTGTAAACATTTCACCTACACCTTCTCGTCACCCCTTACACCCCTGCAGGTTGAGCAACCTGTAGCAAATCATTCTCATGCATGTGCCTTTGTACACAGTGTTCCTACTGCCAGGAGTGGCCTTGCCACGTGTCCTCGTGACAAGCTGCCCACCCCCCTACCCCACCCATCTTCATTCTCTTCCTCTTCTAAGATTCTGCTCATACACTGCCTCTTTTGGGACATCTCACCTGAGCCCCTTTGATAGACATAGGAAACTTTCCATGCTCTTGTTCTACTTTGAAAACAACTCTAATTTAGCAATTAGTATTTTCTGTGATAATTTTTTGCAAGCATGGCTAACTTCCAATTTAAATGTGAGCATCTCGAGGGCACAGACCATGTTTTTTCATATTTGCATTCCTGTGTCTATCTGAGATGCTGTAATGGGGTTTTGTAAAGTCTGGCCCACAAAACACCTGTCTCAGAATAATCTGCCTTAGTGTCAGCTCATTTAAAAATGTGGATTTTGAGCCTAACTCCTAACCTACTGATCCAAATCTCTACAGATGAAGACAGGGAATATGCATTTTAAACAATCCACCTGGTGACACAGTGGTTAAGAATCCGCCTGCCAATGCAGGGGACACAGGTTCGAGCCCTGGTCCGGGAAGATCCCACATGCCGCTGAGCAACTAAGCCTGTGCGCCACAACTACCGAGCCTGCGCTCTAGAACCTGTGAGCCACAACTACTGAAGCCTGTGCACCTAGAGCCTGTGCTCCGCAACGAAGTGTAGCCCCCGCTCGCCACAACTAGAGAAAGCCCACTCGCAGCAACGAAGACCCAATGCAGCCAAAAGTAAAATAAATAAAATAAATAAGTTTATAAAAAAATAAAAAATCCACCAACTGGCATGTATCCTGTAGTTGAATCTCAATAACAATTTCATTAAGTGAATCATGGGAATATATTGCCTAGTACAGTGCCTGATAAATACTGACACTTAATTCATATTGTTTCCTTCCTTCTTCCCTAGTTTTACTGTCAAGAAGTCTGAGCCTCAGAGAGGATGTGACTTTCTAAAGGAAATAGAGACAGAGGCCCCTGAATCAAAGTTTGCTGCCTCCTTGTCCAGACTCTTTTTATACCACCTGTCCCTGACGCAAACTCTCTAGTCATCAAGGACAGCCACCTCCCTCGGACCTGGTCTTCTGAACACCCCATAGAGAGTAGGTATCTGGTCTTCAGCATCCTTTTTGAGAACTGAAGTGGGATTCAACCAAATGGCTTCTAAGATTCTTTTCCATTCTGTGACCTCTCATTCTAGTTTGGTTTAACCATTTATTACAGACAAGGAAGTTCAGTTATTTGCTCAGTTTCTCCTCTTTAAAACCCAAAGCTGGAGGCTAGAAATAATTCTTAGGCCAGATGCCTGGATATTACTAGAGGGTCTTGTGTCCACCTATTAGCTGTGGAGACCTAAATGATTTTACATTCAATTGTGATACTTGGCTTTCCTCTTGAACATGCTACGTCATTTTCAGGGCTCCTGCACCTGCCTTAAGTAAGAAGGGACCATAGTTTTGAAGAGCTGAGATAGATCCATTCTATGCTGAATATTAACATATGATTATTTTGTTATGGGAAAAATAGAACTAGTTTCTACAAACTGTATAACTATGGCAACTTTCAACAAAACAGAAGAGTTTTAATCCTGTAACAATCTTTTACAGGATTGATTGACTGATAAGAGCAAACACTTATATAGCACTTATTTTGCATTTAGGTACTGTTTCAAGTACTCACTGCATCCTCAAATGACTTTATGAGGTAGGAAACATCATTTACATTTTACTCTGGAGAAAACTGAGGCAGAGACAGGTCCAGTAAGCTGCCCAAGGCCTCACAGCTGGTAAGTGATAGAGTCAGGATTTCAACCCTGGCAATCTGGGTCCAGAGTCTGTATTCTTAGCCACCATGGTTTAATGGACAAAGATGGAATCACTGAGCAGGCAGTTTTATTTCCTTCTCTTTTTACTGAATGGTGTAGACAGCTTTGGAAGGTCTGAGATTCTGGATAGCATTGTGTAGCCCTTCCTTCTATGATAATCAGTAGCTACTAACTAGAAATGAGTGTATGAAGTTAGTAGCATTATTCTTGTTATAACTACTTAACTATATAGTCTATGTTCATTGGATAGTCTTCTAAGTGATGTGTACATTTGGAAAGGATTATTCTTTGGCAACAGAAGGTTTTATGGGAGGGAATTATTACAAAGGATATGAGCTCACAGCTTCTGAGTAAAGAGGCCTCTTTGGGTAAATGACAGAAATATTTGCCCTTTGGCTTAAGAAGACAAAGAAATCACAGTACCAATACACAACAATCACTTGTGCAACATTTTCTAATCTAAGCAAAATCTGTAAGCTCTTGTGTGAATACACTTTGGAGTACAAGGAGGGTAGTTGACAAATTCACTTTCTGCAGAAGAAAGGAAGGGCCTGACTCTCATATTAGTGAGTGTTGAAAACAGCCAAGTGCTCCTTGCTCAGCCCTATCAGAGGTCAGCCATCATTACACAATTCTCTCTGGTCGCCAATCCCAGGGAAATTTTTTTGGTTTACTTCTTTTTCATAAGACGACTTGCACATTAATAGTTACTCAATGAATGCTTGTTGACCAGGCATAGAAAAGAAGTGAAACCAAATCGACCCAGATATAAGAAAGTAGAACATTAAGGCTTTAAAGCCAGAGAGAGCTCATTTGAAAGACTGGGAGCCTGAGAAGTGTTAGCTCAAGATGGTTTGCATGTGGGCTGCTCCAGGGAGCTGTGTAATTGAGGGAGAGAGGGACATGGATGGGTGGGCAGCCTAAAATCCAAGTTGAGATCAGAAGTTCTCACTTTCTTGGTGTCCAGATCTCTGAAAGGGCCCTCGTCATGAGGTAGGGGATGTTACTCTTGCCTTAGCCAGCTGATGGCTTGCTGCCCTGCTCTGCCTCTCCCCATCCTGGAAGGCTTAACTTGCTGCAACCTCTGCAGTTCTTTTTGGAGCCATCTCTGCTCCCTGGTCAACAACCTCACATGGTATAGGCAGATATCCTCTAGTCTCTGCAGTCTTTGGCTTCAGCCTGTTTGGCGTTCTCCCTCTCCAAATCAAAGTGCTTCTGTAGTGGTCCCCTGACCATGTTCCTCTCCATCCTCTTCATGGTCTAGAGACAATAGAACAAGATTCTCCCAGGCACCATGACAGACCTGATAAAGCAAAACGGGGAACTTGACCCCTGGCTTTTAACTGGAAGATCAGTGTTTGAATCCTGTGTTTTTCTGAATCCACAGCTACCTAGTCAGACAAAGTCACGCTATTAGAAAACTTTGCCCTGCTGACTAAAATATTATTCACAACCTAAAAGTTGAGAGTTATGTTTTATTTGGCAGGAATTTTTAGGACTTCGAGCCCGGGAGGCATCATCTCAAGTAACCCTGAGAAAACTGCTCTGAAGAGGTGAGGGGGGAGCTAGGATATGTAGAAGTTTGCAACAAAGGTCAGGTAGTAGGAACAAAAGATTACTGCTAATAAAAGAAACCTAGATATCCCAAGTTAAGGAACTTAGCGTTTTTCTATGTATGGGAAGATGCAAGAGTCTGGGCTCACTGAAATCATTCCTTTGATATACACCCCAGCTTATCTGGGGCCAGTATCCTCAGGGCTCACCAGCTCACCAACGGCTGTGTCTGCAATCGCTGATGACTGTGACATCTATGGCAGGCAATGTTCCATTTATCAGCCCTATAGTAACATGATTTTCCAGAGTGACACAGAAGTATTGAGGACAGAGTCATTCCTCTGAGCCTCAGTCTCCTTGCCAATAAAATAGACGACAGGCTCCCTATAAAATCCTCAATCAGGTTGCTATAAAGATCAAGTGAAAACTACATGAATAACTTTTGGGGCAAAAATAATAAAAACATTTTACATATATAAGGCATTATTCGCCCTGTGAGATAAGCCTCTTCTACTGTTCTTTAAAGTTTCCCCAAAGACCCGCTCAGGGGCCTGGAGAGGATTTGGGGACTTAGGACAGAGCCATTCTGGAGCCCTTTCAGTTCATTAATTCATGAACGTGAGGGTCCATGCAGCCTGCAATCCTACCATGTGGCAGGTGCTATGCTGAGGGCTGAGGGTAGTGGTGAATGAGACACAGCTCCTGCTCTCAAGGAACTTTCAGATTTACGATGCTGGAGTCTAATGGTGCATGCCAAATCTGAACAATCAGTATTTCAAAGAGTGGGAAGAGTGGGATCTGTTGGTCACAAAATAGTACAGGTGTCCAGAACAAGTAGTCTGGGAAGCTCTGGTGAAACCACTTGGATTGGAAAGTGGTTCCTCTTCCGACCCTCACCCACCTTCCTCCTCCGAGCTCTGTTGCACTAACAGGTAGGGACAAATCTTTCCTCCTCTTTGTGTCCCTCACAATATGCAGAGCTAAGAGCACAATATGTGCCTGCGATATAAATGGATTGCTATGAATAAAGCTTTGGTGATAATAACACAGGAAAAAGCTTAGCATTAAAAGGGAGGATAAGGTCAGGACACAGGAAAGGAATTTTAAGACAGCTTTTAGTCTAAAGCGTAGACTAAACTTTTATTAAAGAATGTGGTGAGTAGCACTTACCTACAAATCCAGGGTTTGCTGAGAAGGTTGCCTGCTTCTTTTGCTATGCCAGGTTGAGCCTGGATTAATGTGCTTGTTTTTCTTCAGTAAATTTTAGGAGCTCGGTGTTGGGGAGGTGGGAGATAGAGAGACTTTTGGAGAGGGTTGAGGGGGAGAATGTTGAATACACTTGAAAGCTCTCTTCCATGCCACCTCCCCCATCAGGAATGCTAACTCCCTGGGCGTGGGCACCAATCCCAGAGCTTGAAATAGCCCTGTGAGTTAAGGGAGGCTGCCAGCCTTCAGCCCTCCCCTCAAGGGGCCCACAGTGCCCCTTCTCAGCTGTGTCCATGGGAGCCAAGAATGAAAGCATGGAGTGTCTTACTGTGTTCTCAGTCTCTCTCTATCCCTCTCTTTCCCCACCCACTTCTCCTCTTCTCCCTCTTTTGCCATACTACTCCCCAGTCTCCTCACAACGCCCAGTCCTACTTCTTGGAAACCAGATCAGGTTCCAAAAGAAGGTACCCTGTTTTTGTTGTCAGATTGTACACATTTTGTGCAGGAGAGTAATTCGTTTATTTTGTATTATTGCCCACTGTACTGACTTTCCCCAGGCTTCTATCCATGTCTTGTGTACTTCAGTGCTAAGTTAAGATTTTCAAAGTCGTCACAACAGAAACAGGCAAAGTGAAATTTAAATCGACTTTTGTGATCATATATTGGACTCTAAGGTAGAAGGTCAGTTGAACTACTGGTTATGGAACAAGACATTAAGTGGGATTTTTATTGTTGCCTGAGGGCTTCCTCTGAAAACAAGAGGCATTAATGTGCCACAGTCTAAAAAGAACTGCCAATACTGGGGCCTATTAATTCCCCCAGAGCTTACTGAGAGGCAGCTAAACAGACCCTATTACTCATAATCATCACCTAGCAAATAAGCTGTTATAAGGAGATTACTGGGGAGAGGGAAAGGGAAATCCATTGTTCTCTCAGTGGGAAGTAATATCTTTCCCATTCTTTCTCATGAGGTAATTCTCTCACCTCCAGAATTTAAATGACTGGAATGGGGTTCCAGGAAAATCATCATAGAGAATGGGGTGCCTACACAAGGAAAGACTTACACCTCACTCCCCAGCTGGAGACTTGATGAACTACAGAACCACAGAACAGCCCCCACGCCAACCCTTTGTTGCCGATCATAGTGAGGGATTTCTTAGAAAATCTTGGTTACTCCATACTATCTTGAGAGAGAGCTGAGGAGGGCAGGCTTGCAGAAATAATTCAAGGTTGAAGGGCAAGAACGAGCCTCAGTGTGTGAGCCTGGGAAAGGAATGGTGGCCAAACCCATCCTAGCTCCCATTAGCCCTTCGAGTGTACCAAAGAGGAACTTAGCAGTTTCCTGGCTCCATGTGAAGGAGCACAGGGGTTATATAAGGGGACAGAAACCATGGCATTGCCCTTGGAAGACTCTAGGTCAAATAAGGTAATACTTCACTCTGAGCAGGCATAGAACCACAGGCAGGGTCAGAGCAAGTAGTGATAGAAGGGATCTGATTGAAGGTGAACTTTCTCATGAAAACAACACATCTTAAGAGCAGAGCACAGCAGGAGCATATGGAACATGACTGATCAGGGAAAGACCAGTAATGCCACAGCACCACAAAAGTATTAGTTATATAAGAACTATATAGTTCCCCTTCTCCAAGTCCCTGGGAGTCCACTGGGGAAAGGGTTTAAACTTTATTTAAGATTGGAATGTCAAAGTGGTCTGGACTTTCTTGCAACAAAAGTGGCCAGAAATGTGTAGAATCTGTCCATGAAATCATTAAGGGACAAGAAAAAAAAATTAAAAAGCTAGTGATCTGATGAAATATAAAGCTCTAATTCTGATATCATGTTCCTGCTATAATCACTAGGGAAAAAGTTTAAACTGCTCATTAAAATGATTATGATTAAAATGAATTTTACAGAATGGATGTAATTTATTCACATTCATATACTTTTCTCTCTCTCTGTTTTATATGGAAGTACTGTCCTTTTGTAGTCAAACACATCTGAGATCAAAAAATTATTCCATCATTTAGTAGGATGTATGACTTTATTCATTAATTCTGTCATATACCCTAGTCTCCTCATCTATGAAAAGGCTTAATAGTATCTTCATCATAGTGAATCTGATAGAATTTGGTGAAAGAATGAATATAAAGTGTTTGGTACATAGTAGATATTCAATAAACATTAGTCCCACCTTCTAGCAAAGATGGAGTAACAGGGAGTAGATTTACCCTTCCATATGAAACAATTAAAAAATCAGACAAAATTTATGAAATAATGTGGTTTATTTTTAACACTGGTCATGAGGCAGATAGGATGGTGTTCCCTGCGAGAGTAGAAACAAACCAGGGGAGCTCTTATTCTCCCAGCTTACTGCCTGGAAAGAGTTTCCAGGCCATATCATAGGGAAGGGACAGCCAAGCAATGATTCCCTGAGAAGACAGAGGTAAAAGTCCAGAAAGGCCAAGGCAGCTAGGAATGACAACAATAGTACAAATTGTACAAAGTCCAGATGGGAAGAAATGGAACTATACTGTTATAAGGGTCTTATACCATATGGGCAACAGTATATAATCACTTGAAGGTAGACTGTAATAAGTCATAGCTGTATACTCTAAACTCTAAAGCAACCTCTAAAACAATATATCAAAGAATTATAACTAGTCAACAAATATGATAAAATGAAATCATAAGAAATACTGAATCTAAAATAAGACAGAAAAAGAGGAAAGAGAAAATAAGGAAGAGTTTAGATAAAAAGGAAATAGATAGCAAGACAATAGATTTAAACTTAACATTATTAAGAATCACAATAAATATAAATGGTTTTAACACCTGATTAAAAGGCATAGATTGCCAGATCAAATAAAAGAACAAGACCACAATATATAATGCTGACAACAACCCAAACCAAAACAAAACAAATTTTTAGTGTAAAGACACAACTAGGTGAAGAATAGAAGGATAGAAAAAGATATACCATGCTAACACTAATTTAAAAAAATAGGGATGGCTATGCTAATAAATAATAATAAATAAAGATTAATCTTCAGAACAAGACTATTAACAGTGATCAAGAGAGTCATTTCTCAGTGATGTAGCGACTAATATTCATCAAGGGAACATAAAAATCCATCCATAATGTTTTTGCTTCTAATGACAGAGCTCCCAAATACATGACACAAAACTGATGGGGCTGTGTGGAAGAATCTATATACCCACAATCATAGTCAGTAATTTCAACACTTATTTCTCAGTAATTTGTAGAATTTATATAAATAAAATTAGTAAGGATAAAAGAAACAAACAGCACTATCAACCAACTTGGCCAAATTGACATTTATAGAATATTCCACCTGGCAACTACAGAATACTCATTGTTTTCCAGTGCACAAGGAACATTTATCAAGATAGACCATATTCTGGGCCATAAAACAAGTTTAATAAAAGTATTGAAATAACAAAGTGTATTCTCTGACCACAATGAAACGAAATAGAAAGGTATCTGGAAAATACCCCTAATACTTGGAAATCAAATAATGTACTTCTAAATAACCCATAGATCAGCCACAGTGCTGACCTGTGTGTATGGAATCTGGCTGGTTCTGCTCCACTGATGGGGACCCGCCCTGGAGGGCCTCCCAGAGAACTGGGTGGAGAACACTGAGAGCCTTCCTGGCCCCACCTGCCCATACATAAAATAGATAAGCAATAAGGGTTTACTGTATAACACAAGGAACTATATTCAATATCTTGTACTAACCTACAATGGAAAATAATCTGAAAAAATATTTCACTGAATCACTTTGCTGTATACCTGAAACTAACAATATTTTAAATCAATTACACTTCAATAAAATAAATCAATAACCCACAGA